AGTTCTGCCCTGCTATAGGTCCAAAGCTTCTTTATTCATTAACGGATAAAAGCAATACATAGACAGAAGGACTTCCCACACTATTTTCCCTTTTATGTCTAATGAAAAAGAATGGTTTTAACTTAACATAGCAAAATTACATATAACAAAATAGTTATCAAGTAAGAATTATATTTATAATATTTAGTCCATTTACTTGGCAAATTAAGGAAAATACTTTATCATCTATCCTATCTTTGTGAGTACGTCAGGGGAAGTATTTTTAGGGGTTCATAGAGGCCTTTTGTGGAGTCTTGTTCCATCAAAACACATTAGCCTGTAGGGAATCCATAGGTTCCTGTCCTCTGTGGAAACAAAAGAAGAACCTGTTTTCCAATGGAACATATCCTTACACTCAAATTTGAAGTCATGATGCCATTAAAATATATATGTTGATTTTGCTTAGCAGCTCCCAGAATCAAATGTCTCTCTGCAGTCAAAAATTTTAAAGAAAACACAATAATATACATAATCCAGACTCTCTGTGTGTATTCCATCTTTACATTGCTTATTTTTTTCTTACTCCTTTAATCTGATTGCCTGTACTCTTTTATATTACTTTTACTGTCTCTTTAAAGACTTTGTTTTATTTTTAAAACTATTTACTTCTTTTTATAAACTGTCTATATTCTTTTTCTTATCTCTCACAAGCCTACATGCATTTATCCAACACTGTAACACATTCAGAGGTCTTTTTCTTCTGAATCTGCCTTTATTGCTTATATATAATCATTTTCTGACCAGGAGTGCCTTTTTTTCTAAATACTAAATGGTCCCATCTAGGACGAAGACTGCTTTGCCCTTTGGCCCCACCTAGTCCAACATGGTGGAGGTATGTTCACCACCAGCTCTGCAAGCTATGTTCACTGCCCTAGCTCCAAGGACACAGCTGGTTTATGTCATCATTAAGCAATTTGTAACAAGCTGCTCACAGACCACATTTAAGTGCTCCATAACAGAACCAGCACAAACAGGAAGCCCTCCCCTAAAAACATCACACAGCCTTCACTGCCAATGTTGAGTTAGGAAAAACTCTCTTATAGGAGATGTGACCCTGCTTGCCTCCAACAAACAGAGCCCATCTGAAAAAAATTGTGGCTACCAAAGAGCTGTGCTTAATTCTGTTCTTTTGTGTGTATACTTCCTTCCCAAGGTCTCTCAGGTTTCAAGTGGATGTAGTTGTCCCTCATTGGGACAACATGTGTAAGCAGAGGCTGCTCATTCATTTCCCAGGTTCCCAGACCCAAATAATTACACAGAAACTATATTTATTATAACACTGTTTGGCCTATTAGCTCAGGCTTTTTATTAACTAACTCTTACATCTTAAATTAACCCATTTCTATTATTTTGCATTGCTATGAGCCTGTGACCTACCATTAAGATTCCATCTGGTGCCTGTCTCTTTCAGCAGTTACATGGTGTCTCTGTCTGATTCTGCTACTCTATATATATCTTCCAGACTGGCTATATTCTGTACTGCCATAGGCCAAAGCAGAGTCTTTATTCCTTAGCTAATAAAAGTAACACATATACAGAAAAACTTCCCATATCCCCACAGTCTAGGCAGCTGTACTGGAGGACAGTGTGGTCCTTGGAATGCCAGAGAGGACACCACCCATCACCCATTAAATCCTTTAAAGCCTGTTCAACAAACCAAGACTGTACCTCTACCCTTGGACCCCTTTTCCTGGTCTACTATTTTGGAAGTTGGAAGAAGTCTTTGACTTTACCAGAGGTCATGTTGGACCTAGGGACACTAAGATACCACCTACTGCCTGATAACACTCCTTAAAATCCACCCAGTAATCCCAGACAGTACCTTCCCCCTCAACTCCAAACTAGGGTATACAGTACTGGCAGATTTATGGGAGTCCAGGCTGGTCCTAGAAATCCCAGTTAAGGCACTTCCCACTACCCACAAAACCCCCTTAAAGACTGAAAAAGCATGGGATAAAACCCGACTCTCTGAACATGGCAGACAATGAGAGCTGATGAGAAGCCAAGGACAATGGCACTGGGTTTTGATCCTACTTCATGTTCTGGCTTTGTGGGAGCCTAGCCAGTTTGGATGCTCACCTTCCTAGACCTAGATGGAGGGGGGAGGACCTGGGACTTTCCACAGGGCAGGGAACCCTGACTGCTCTTCGGACTGGAGAGGGAGGGGGAGAGAATGGGGGCAGGGAGAGAGGAGTGGGAGGAGAAGGAGGGAAATGGGAGGCTGGGAGGAGGCGGGAAATTTTTTTTCAATAAAAAAAAAGAAATTAGCTTGATAAACAAAAGAAAAACCCTTAAAGCCTTCCCAACTACCTCAGACTACTCACACAACCCCAATACCTTAACACTAGCCTCTGGCTCCATATTTGGGTGTACAACTTCAGAAGAAGACTTCAACTTTATTAGAGCACATGCCTTCAGCTTTACTGGAGTACAGACTGTATCTAAGTACCCCAGCACTGCTAGCTGTCCTAGACACCAGGTCTGTCCTAGGGACTGCAGAGGCCAGACAAGTTCTAAGGAACCCAGTCTCCATCCCTTCCCCATGGCTACATATTCTGGTCTACAACTTCAGAAGAATACTCAGGCTTTGTCAGAGGCCAGATCAGATCTAGGGACCCCCTAGAAGAAAAAAAAAAACTCCAGAGGGGACACCAAACTGAACCTGAAGACTCACTGGTAACCAGTCATTTAGGCCATTAGACCAGAGAAGAAAAAGAAACCAAGGAAGAAAACAGCCATATAACAAAGACAAACTAAGGATTCAACACCTAGGCCTATAATCATCCTAAATACAATTGATATCAGAGAGGCATCATCCAACAACTGATGGAAAAAGATGCAGACCCACAGGCAAGCATTAGGTAGAGTTTGGAGAATGCTGCAAAAGAGGAAAAGAAAAGAGTGTAGGAGCCAGAAGAGTCAAGGACAGCACAAGAAAACTCACAGAATCAACTAACCTGGACTCAGATGGGTTTAGAGAAATTGCAACTGATAGCCAGGGAGCCTGCATGGGACTGACCCAGGCACTCAACATATATATTGTAGTTGTATAGTTTGGTCCTACTGTGGGACTCCTAACAATGGGAATAGGGGCTATCTCTGTTTTTTTTTTTACAGGTTTTTGAGACTCTACTTAACATACTGGATTACCTTGCCCAGCCTTAATACGTGGGGAGGTGTTTAGTCTTACTATGACTTGAAATGCCATGTTTTGTTGATACTAATGGGAAACCTGTTCTTTCCTAAACAGAAATGGAGGCATGAACTGGGGTATTAGAACAGAGTGGGGTTGGGCCAGAGGGACTTGGAAGAGAGGAGAGAGGGGAAACTATGGCAAGATGTAAAACAGACAGACAGACAAGCAAACAAACAAATAAATAAGTTACCAAAAGTGATGACATTTCGTGCTCAGCTTCGTGTGAACTTTGGCTTAAACGATCCTGTTGGTTCTGTTCTTTGGCTGATGTAAACAAAACAGCAGAAGAAAATCATGTTTGGGTATTGCATTAAGCAAGGAGGAGGAGGAGGAGGAGGAGGAGGAGGAGGAGGAGGAGGAGGAGGAGGAGGAGAAGAAGAAGAAGAAGAAGAAGAAGAAGAAGAAGAAGAAGAAGAAGAAGAAGAAGAAGAAGAAGAAGAAGAAGAAGAAGAAGAAGAAGAAGATATTCTTAGAAAAAAATCCATATCAATCAATAAATAAAAGGATCTCAAATATATATTGTTTCCTTTTATTCCTTTTAGAACCTGTGTTGGGAGAAAACCTGTATTAAAATTTATGTGGCCATTATAAAATGTTGTGACTATATAAAATTTTTACCTCATGGCTTCAACCAATATTGTTTTAAATAAAAAAATAAACTTATTAAAGTATTTTAGGTTTTTGTGTCTTTTCCCTTTTTGTTCAATCTTTTTTCTTTCTGATAGTGGACAAATGCCTAAGCATGGTTTGCAGACACTGGGCTTTCTCATTCACTTTATAAAACAAGTGTTCTCTTCTGGGTGTGAGTACTTGCCAGTCTCCGAAAAGTACGGCTGTCTCTCTTCCTTTTCTTCATCTCCCCATGTCAACAAATGCCAAAATTTACAGTTTGTGTGTGTTTAGAAATACTATTTTAAGATGTGTTGCCTCCTAGGGACCTTTCCTAAGTCTGCTTTATTGAATGTCTTTGTAGTCGTTCAAAGAGAGTTAGATACAGTAGCTGGATAAATGAAAATCCATGAAGTTAGTAGTATTGGTAAATTATATAATATTATAGTATAGAATATTATATTATAGAATATACTTCCTTAAAACATAATTCAGTGAGAATCAATCATTAAATATGGGAAACTAGACTTGATCATAGGGCAAAGCTCAGCATGGTAACATAGCACCGCAGAGGAGAAGACTGATAGAACTCCCCTTAGCTGAGGTTAGCATCACAGAGAGTACTTAAAAGAGGAACAGTGAAATCCAGAAGGAAATCCTCAGGAAAGGTCAATCTTCCACTCTCAACTAATTTAACAATAATGGTGCCCCACAGGCTAGCCTACTTGCTAACCTAATGAGCTCTTGGCAAGGCCAGTCTGCTTATAGAAGTAAAGAAAAATAGCAATGATCCAAGCCCCTACTTTCCTCCAGTTTTTACCAATTAAGATTAGATTCATGGAGATTTAGGTAGAGTCAGGAGACTGATCCTTGGAATTCCCGCCCCACTGATTCACTTACTCTTTAGGGTACGAAGTAGAAGCACAATGAGTCCAGTGAAAAATATCATCATCACAACCAAGATTATGCATACATCCCACAGCCAATTACTATACAGTGGATATGCATCGTCCAAAATAGAAGCTAGAAAAAAAAGAGAAAGAAATATTAAACATGTTTTAAAATAAATAAAATGAAGACAGTTGAATATGCACAAATTAATAAGCCAGATCACAGGACCCTAGTCAATAATAAAGAGAAAAAGGAGGCTTTGGTTAGACTTCATTTGGAGAGCAAAGTTTTGGCCACCGATCCAAGGTTATATGACATAGCTTTCCAGTTGAGTTGGAAATTTTTAACAGAGAGGTGAAAACATGGTAAGAAATAGAATCAAGTAGCAATCTGGGATCAGTAGTCATCTAAAAACATAAAAGGAGAGCTAAGCAAAGGAGAAAAGGAAGCATTTGATGCAATGGTAAGGATCTTCTAGACATTAAGAAACATTCTAATAGAGGAAATTGTGGTGACCAACAGATATTTATTATGAAAAATAAGAGTACTCTCACAGAGAGATGTATGTGTATATGTGAATGTGTGTACACATATGCACTCACACGTGCGTGTTCACACACGCACACACACTCACACCTAGTACAATTTGTGCTGCCTGTATATTATTGGATGTGTTCCTTCACTGGAGTGTGGTCAACATATAAGAGTCCACAGCCTTAAAGGAAACTGATTCTCCCTCTCCCAGCAGCTATCTGCTACCAATACCTCTATAGCTAAGGGTGTGACTTCATGCCCAACCTACCTCTCTATGCTGCAGTTTTATCTGGCCCAGTTCTGCACAGGTCTTGTGCATGCTGTCTCAACTGCTGTGAGTTCATATGTGTAACTGCACAGAGAAAACAATTTCCTTGTAGTCATCCACCACCTGCAGCTCTTACATTTCCTTCTCTTCTTCTGCATTGATCCATATGCCTTCGCAAGTAGACGGGCTATAAATATTCTGCTTAGGAACAACCATTCAGACTTCTTTTATGCTCTACACCGTAATCTCCTTGTTGACTGTTACCTACTGAAAATTTGAGCTTCTCTAATGAGAGCTAACTGGTGCATAATCTGGGCCTGTGCCATATGTGGTAGCTATGTACACACTGTATCTTTCCTGATATCTGAAGTCCAGTTCTTTTCATTACATTTGATCTTCTGTTTAATGCTTCCACTGAGTTATTTTTATTTTATTTTTGTTAGTATAAATGTATCTATATAGATGTTCTACTTGGTCTTTTGAAATATTCTCATATTTTATAATATTTTTCATTGTCCATATTTTAAGTGCATTCTTCCATTTTTAAATACAAAAGGTATATTTCATATGCTTAATATACATAGAAAGTCTAGACCATCATTGCTAATTTTGAAAACTCTAAGTCTTTTGACAACTGCCCCTCTATACACAATGGGAGAGCTTGTCAGTTGTCTTTGTCTTCAATTTTTGCATGGGATTGGTACCAGTTAACAGCTGCAATATTGCTAAGGGAAAATAATTTCTAAATTCTATTATCTTTTAACAAAAAAAACTTATTTTTTATTTTATGCATATGAGTTTTAGAAGCCAGAAGAAATAAATCTTCAGAACCCCTAAATTGTAATTATAGTGAATTGTGGTCTGCCATATAAATGCTGGTGCAGAAACCAGACTTCTTCAAGAGCAACAAATGCTTTTAATTGATAAGCCATCTTCTTGGCTCCTAAATTCTATTCTTCACAGTATTCCATAAGATGTACTGTTTTATGTCATTTTTTTTTAAAGACTAATTTCAGTGTTCACTACTTTGGACTCATCGGATGAATGTGGACATTTCTATGATACTCCTTTTTATGAGGGTTTTCAGAGTTAAAATTAGTCTGTTTAATCCTAATATGGTCTTTAAAATCAGGGTATAAGGATATCAACAGAAAATTAAAATGGATAAAAGAAGAAAGATGGGGAGAAAAGATTCATATATATTCATATTTCCTGTTACTCAAAATATTGTTCTTGCTTTCTTGGTGGCCAAACTCACGTTAAAATTACATAGCTGTATAAGTGTTAGATGGATAGAAAGATATACTATAATCAATAAGATTGGTTTAGGACATTTAGTATATTTCATAATGCTGGAAGTTAATTTTATCTTCAGTTTCTTTATAGAGTTTTGTGAATTTCCCATTGACTCGCAGAGAAGTTTCCTTTGCATTTATTTGTTTAGGATTTGAGGCTGGTTTGTATGATTTGCAGTGAAATAGATTTAATGAGTTTCATTGACAGTCATTCTGAAATACAGGTTAAACCAGAGGAAGATACATCTGAATCTAATGTCTGATACGATTTTGTCTTATGGATTAGTGCAAACCACTTATAAGTAATAATTAGATTGTTTCGGTGACTTCATTGGTTGTTTTCTTATAAAATTCTTCCTGATATACACAATGAAATTAAAGAAATTTTTAAATTTTCAGATACTATCCTATAAACACTCTATGTTACAGAACAACCACATACTTTCAATAGCCTGCAAATGTATATCCAAGAGAATTAAACATCAGCTTTCCGTCATCTCAGAAAATGAAAAGGATATCAAAAGAAAAACCATATTTTTTTCCATTAATTATCAGAGGGGATCTCTAAACCAAAAGTATTTTTTTAATGTTTAAGAATCGTAAATGATAGGAGACACCAAAAATTGTGCTGTGTAAAAGAACGTCTATACATTTGGGATGAAACAGAGGCGAGACCTAGAGAGATCATCCTTTACATTGCTTTACAAGCAGATGTAACTGTGAGTATGAACATATAAGCAGCCATGATGGAAGCCTAAAATTTAGGAAAATAAATAGTTCCAGTGTCAGCAATTGAAGACATTGGGATGTCACTGAAACCATGACTGCTAACGCTGCAACAAACTACTCAGGTTTAAATAGTTCGAAGATGAAAAGGCACCGGGAAGAGACAAAGTGAAATGACAGACCCAGTTCTCATTCCACTCACCTTGGCTCCTGAATTTCAAGTAGAGAGGAAGGAAGCCAATATACAAAGCTAAAGGTAGACATTCACAGACAATCTTATAGCCAAGTCTCATTCTCCTCGGATCTGAAAAAGAGTGAGTAATAAGTTTTAGGAAGCTAGAACTTTGGTAATGAATGCATTGGAACAGCAAGAAAAATGCTGAATAGAGGAAGTGTCTTGAAGGTTTACTAAACCTATTTCAGGGTTAAAGCCTCACAAGCAAGATTTTTAGGATCAGGGTTAGGAATTTTTAGTGAAGATAGAACTTAGAATTGGGCGAAGCTAAGATCTATGGCCATTTACAATGAAGGCAGAGAAGGCTTAAAGAACAAGATCAAATAATAAATATCCTTCTCATTTTTCTTACAACTGTGCAGCATGTAATCAGCCTGACAATATAACTTGGATGCTGTGGGGCTCTGTTCGCTATAGCTTTGTCTTAATGCTTAAGTGCCTAACGGTTGTAGGATCCATGGAGTAGGGTTTCTGCTAGCTAAAAGGGGAAAGAAGCTACCTTGGAAACAAAGACTTGAGCAGTTATGACTTTTGTGCACCCTGCAAGATTTCTATAGCATCCTTTCTACTAGCCATCCATTTATTCTTCTCTTGAGCTTCCATGTATATTCTAGAAAGCTTGCTACAATGTGAGAAAGATTGCTTCCAGGCAGTATGCTGATGCTTACCAAACCTTGCTTCCTTATATTTATCTAGATTAGAAAAATGATTGACTAGTTTGAAACATTTATAGAAGAAAGCAAATAGTAAGATAGTTGTGTTATTCTGAATTATACCATGCAAGAAATAAGTAACTATGAACAGTAAGGGTGGAAAGATCTAGAAAAATTTGTTTTGTTGTTACCTGCTTCTTTTGGTTTGTATTTAATATTGACTTTGTTCTCTTTGTGTGTATATTAGTTTACATCTTCTGTTTTTTGTTGGAGTTTGTTTATTATATTTGATCATAAGTATCAGCAACTACCAATAAGAACAATAAGGAAATAAGGAGTTTTGTCATTCAAAATAAACTCTTATCCACTCTTTTACTTTATATTCAATGTCTATAACAGCTCTAATATTTATGAACTATCCAATATACAAATGTTGATTAAAAGAATGAATAAGTCAAGTTAACTAGGGAAGTAGTAGCTACTTCACCAGTGAAAGTATATAAGGAAGATTTGACTGGTCCACATCTTGGTGAAGAGTATCAGGGTTGAAGCAAAATGTCTGGCATTTGAAACACTTTGATTTTAACTTATGATCCACATTTATAGATTGATTCAACTTGAACAATTTACCTAAAACCCTGGGTCTTTAACTCGTTCATCTAGAAATAATAAGTAGAACTTCATGAGGTTGTTTAGATAAATTAGTAAGATAAGCTATTGATTCTATTCCCTGGCATTTTATGAATATACATTCATAATAATAGAGGTCTTTATGCATTGGGTACATGACTGCCCACATTGTATCATATGAACTCATGCTTTTTTAAAGAATATAAGTCTCATTTTAACAGTAAATCTCAAATAGATTTCATCCTTTGAGTTAAATGAATTTATTTCTAAAGTTTCCCCAGTTCGAGTCATCCTTCATCCAGAATAACCTAGAATATACAAAAGTTCTTTTCTCTTATGAAGTATTGAAGTGGGAGTCCCCTCTGTGTGCTGTGATTACCATTAATGAATATAGAAACTGCTTTGGACCTATAGCAAGACAGAACTTAAATAGGCAGGGAAAGCTAGGCAGAATGCTGGGAGAAAGGAGGTGGAGTCACGGAGACGCTATGGAGCCACTGCCAGAGTCAGACATGCTGAAACTTTGTCAGTAAGCCACTGCCACGTGGTGATATACAGAGTAATAGAAATAGGTTAAATTAAAATGTAAGAGCTAGCTGATAAGAAATTAGAGCTAATAGGCCAACCAGTGTTTTAATTAATATAGTTTCTGCGTGGTTATTTTGGTTCTGAGTGGCTGGGATGAACAAACAGCCTTCTCCTACAAAGTGTAAAGTTTTTGAAGATAAAGTTTTATGATCATTTGCGCTTTGGGTAAATCAAGGCTAGAACTAAGGACCCCTTCCTACTTTCTTCCACATTTTGCAGAATGTAACCTACCTGGAGACATACCTGGAGCATGTAGACTTGTCTGAATGTTTTAAAGGTCTAAAATTTAGAAGATCAATAAAATGGTAGTTTGGGGATGCTGTGAGTTAGTTAAGGAAATTTTTTACCTCTTTTCTGTCGTTAACCTCTGTCTTACTCATCTTACTCATCATGTCCTGATATCCAGCACTGCAAAAGGCTGTTCTAGATGTATCCCATGCCTTCTATACCACGTCTTAACTCCTTAAATTTAGATTACATTAAAAACCCTAATGAATATAGCATTCAGACTATTCTCATGAGAATAACAAAAGAACATTTGGAGAAAGATTAGGAAAGATGAATAATCCAGCTATTTGATGCTGTATATTTCTCTTTCTTGTTTTTTTCTCCTAGAACAGTGATATTTACTTTTATTTTTTTTGGTACCTAACCATAGGTAATTGTCTCCAAAAAGCAAGTTCATACACCAGGGATAAATCCTGGTGGCACTGCTAGAGATCTACAGATATACCTAATCACAAAACTGTCACCCACATGCAAAGGGTCTAGTTCAGTCACATGCACATTCCCCAGCTTTCAGTCCAGAGTCCATGAAGTCTCAATAGGTAGGGTTGGCTGTCTCTGGGGATTCCTTTATTCATTATTTGCCACCCCACCTCATTCACATAATTCCTTTTCCCACTCTTCAACTGAACTCCAGGAGCTCAGCCTAGTGCTTGGCTGTGGATCACTACATCTGCTTCCGTCAGTTACTAGATGTAGGTTTTATGATGACAATTAGGGTATTCACTAATTTGATTACAGGGGTATGCCAGTTCAGACATCTTCTCCAGTATTGCTAGGAATCACAGCTGGGGTCAAGGATATGGAGTAAGGAGACTAGTACTCCATTGTTGGTGGGGGTACAAACTTGTACAGCCACTTTAGAAATCAGTATGGCAGTTTCTTAGAAAATTGGAACTCAATTTACCTCAAGACCAAGCAATACCATTCTTGGGCTTATCCTCAAAGGATGCACAGTTGTACCAGAAGAACATCTCCTCAATCTTGTTCATAGCCATATTATTAGTAATAGTCAGACCCTGGAAATAACCTAGATGACCCTCGACCAAAGATGGATAAAGAAAATGTGGTACATTTACACAACATAGTATTATGCAGCAGTTAAAAACAAATGACATCTTTGTTGTCTAGGTTCTCTGGGATTGTGAATTGTGGCTGGTTTTCTTTGCTTTATGTTTAAAAACAGTATTGGGATGCACTAAAATTCAGGGTTACATTATTCAGTATGCAACACACTTGAGTATTTGGTTTCAAGAAGAAATGGATTCAGAACACTTTACCTTCTGTAGATTCATATTTTTTCCATATGAGACAACAAAAATATCTGAGACAATGAAGAATTAATATAATGATCAAATATATTACAGGGCGTGGAGGTCTTTTTGACATCAACGACATGTATGCTGGTTTGAACAGAACATCTGAAAGAGAACAGAAGGACCTGGTGTTAAGAATTGGATGTACGTTTCCAATGTAAAGTTTCACATTTCAGTCTTAGTCCTCATTTGGCAGACCCAATCACTGAGAAATGTCTGGCTTATGAGGGCTCTGACTTTGTCAGTGAATTAATCCATTGATGGATTCATAATTTGATGGAATTTTTAGAGAATGGCAAAAATATTAGTGAATGAGAGTGAGTGGCTAAAGTAGGTGATAAGGGACATGCTTTTTTTTTTTTTTTTGACGCCCCACACCACAAGAAACTCTTGTGTTTATTTTCCCCAGAAACTGCTTTGAGGAAACCTTCCAGTACAATGTGAGATGGAGATGGGAAGGCAATATTCCTGGTTACTATTCAACATGCAGAAGTGCTGTTCCTTAAGATTCTGTTCATGTGCTGCTTCCATACATATTTTTTAATAAATGGGATAATAAACAATTAAAACACTACCATGTGTAGAAAATATGTAGGGACATGCTTTTGAAGGGTATATCTTCTCCCTGTCCCACCTCCAAGTGCTCTTTCTTGAGCACCTGGGAATTGGTTATTATTTGAACCTGAGATAATCTACGTATCTGAAAAGAAGGAAGGTTAAGTACTCAGGGATGCTAGGGGCCCTTGCCTCAGTGATTGGAAGAAGTATGGCATCTGAGACAGCTGTAGAGAGTAGGAAGGTCAGATATGGAAACACTAAGAAGTGTAAGCAGAAGGAAATTCTGACTGAGAGCATCAATTCAAGGTTACCAAGAGTAGGACATGAGGATTTTCATAATGTTGATTTCTCAGCATCTGGACCCATCTTTCTGCCACATGTGCTTGGTTCCTGGAAAGGAGAGAGAGAGAGAGAGAGAGAGAGAGAGAGAGAGAGAGAGAGAGAGAGAGAGAGAGAGAGAGAGAGAGAGAGCACTGAGACCAGGTGTAGTGGATTCCTTGATTTCTGAAGCCTCTTCTCTGAAAGGTGGGTTACATGAGCAGGGCCTGAGAATACCAGGACCAGTGTGCTAGGTTCACTCTATTCTCCTTATCTAGTTCAGAATAAGTGCTCTGTTTTTGTCTATCAATTCCAAATACTTGACTTAGATGCACCATTTGTAGTTGAGCACTCCATAAACTCATATTCTTTACATTATGACCCATTGTGAGTTCCTGTGTCAACCAATATCCAATACACAATATAACCTTCCCTGAAAGAGTCTAAAAGTTGCCCTAATACATGGCTAGAGGGATTCCAATTTAGAAGGTAGTTTGTTACTATGTCCATTTAACAAAATAATAGTAGTTTCAATCCTAGGGCCTATATGCTTCCTAACCATGGGTGCCTGGCCAGATTTACAAATACCAGATATGTGTTTCCTCCTGTGGAGCAAGCTTTAAATAAAATTAGAAAGTGATTGGTTTTCCTCATTACATTCATGCCACTATTGTCCCTATAGGCATCCACTGATCTTCATTGCAGTTAAAAGGATTCAGAGGTGTGGGTAAGACAGTCAATTACTTTTTTCTCCAAAATATGTTTATATTCTGATAACATTTGTGTCTCTCAATCTATAAGACTATCAAAATAATGTGCCCCCAAAGAAAAGAGAATTTCCCCAAGAATCTCATATTGGGGGAAGAAGGAAAAGTCTCAAGTACAAGAAAAAACTTATCTCCCCTGAAAAGAAATTCCACACAGATCTAGAAACTTGTCAGACTCCCTTGTGGGATAAAACTGAAACCCAGACAACTATAGATCAGTTGGGATGATGGGTTGCCACACCTTGACCAGGACTTCTTAGATTTTATCTGGGGCTTAGTTTTAGCCAGCTTTTGAATCCTTAACATGCAACACAAAATGAGAACTCACTGTCCAATCATTTCAATACTTTCTTTAAGATTTGTTTTTGATGTATGTGGGTGGGTGGATGGCTGTGTGTATGTGCACATGCCCTGAGGAATGTGTGGGGTCCAGAAGAGGGCACCTGATACCCTAGAGCTGGAGTCACAGGTGGTTATGAGCCATCCAGTATGGGTGCTAGCAGCCAAACAGGCCCTCAGAGAGAGCAACAAGTGCTCTTACCCTCTGAGACTTCGCTCCAGTTTATTACCATTCTTTAAAATATTCTCCATAGAATAGTATTTTTCTGATTTCCAGCCGCTCAAATAGTGCAGCTCTACAGCAGTTTGTAACTTGTAATATAAATTCATATTTATTATTTCATTCAATTCTCTCCTTAATACAATTCATCTTTGACAGAACCAAGTCATAAGAACTTACCTGGGAGGAAAATACTTCTCTTTTTCTCCTGATTAGTAGTTACATTGTAAATAGAACAAGTAATAGGACCTTGTGTTCTGTTTTTTAGAAGAATATTGCTCTTCAAGTACAATAATCCAGCTCTATCCTGAGAATCAAATTTTGACGAGGGTGGAATTACTTTCCCCTTGCTGTCTCTCCATGTAATGTCAGCAGGTGGGATCAAGTTTCCTGAAGTACACTCCACCAGTATACTTTCTGCATCTGGAACCTGGATGCTAATTTGTATATCAGAGTTCATTGCTAGGAAGAAGAGAAAGATGACATTATGATTGGTAGTGTGGATTCAAGAGTCGAGAAGTTTGTGGAAACTTCAATGGGCTGCTACCTGTGCCCTATATATGAATAGGAACAATCAGGGCAAAAGCAATACTTTAATATAAGCACAAGCTAGAAAAAATAAGAACAAATCAGAGAAAAACTGATAAAGTCAAACTTCATAAGATTAAGTAGTTTTTGTATATCAGAATATGGGTAAAAAGAAAAAGCCATAGACTGGAAGATATCCACACTCTTTCTAATAAAGAAACCCCATTCTAGATAGGTGACAGATGCTATAAATCAAGCTTGTTTTCTAAAATGGGAAAACAGTAGAACGCATATTTAATTTAAAAAGATATCCTAATGACCAACAAGTATATTAAAGGATGTTCAACATTTTCAGCCATCTGGGAAATGCAAGCAAAACCTCATTGGTTCATTCTTGATCCCCATTACAGTGTTGACACAGGGGGACAAGGATTGACTGACACTGACAAAGATCAAAAGGCAAAGAACTCCCTTTATATGAAAAAATGTCAGTATCTATTAAAGTTATACATAGATGTTTACAACCAGAAATTTTTAGTAGATGGTTGTGTATTTTAAGAATGTTAATGATATCATTAAGCATAATGGTCCCAAACCCAAAGTAATAAAATAATACAAATAAAAATAATACAGATAATTGTGAACACTAATGCTGTAAACAAATCCAAAAGAATTAATGAATAATGATGAATGATTGGGCTGCTATTTAGATGTGTATAAATGTAACAATATAGCAATATTTGTGATTAATTCTTGGCAATGGGAGTTAAACAATAGTCACTTGGCAAGAAATGGATGGTATTGACTAGGAAAAATTGCAACAACATTTTGGGATGCTGAAAATACTTAGTATCTAGAGCTGAGGAATGGATTCATAAATGTCCCTATAAGCAAAAAATTTACTGAGTTGTACAATTAATGTAGTTTACTAATACACACACACACAACACACACACACACACACACATATGGGTTACAAAGCATAGCAAAAAGTACAAATGTAAGAAAGAGAAGTAACGAGGAGAAGAAATGATAGGGAAAAAGGGAAATGAGAGAGGATTAGGGGAGAGTAAGTAAAATGCCTTGTAAGCATGTATGAAGTTGCCAAAGAACAAATTTAATCAATAAAATGGGGAGGATGTCTCTACCTTGGGCAGGTATTGTGAACTGTAAGAGCAGAAAGGCCAAAAGGAATCCCAATAAACAGGGAGCTGCAGGCTCCATCACACCTGGAAAATGAAATTGCAATCAATATTGGGGCAATAAGAACCATGACAACACAGAGAAAAGCAAGAAGACAACATTCTGAAACCCTATCATTTGAGAAAATTCCCCCTGCAAGGAAAACTCTTAATGGCTGCTGCCAGCCCCCTGGGGTGATTTCTTCTAGGGTCCTATCTTGGTTTGCACTTGGCTCTGTGCCTTCCGGAGATTAACTTTACTGAAAGGCGCGTTATTATCCCATAAAAAAGAATGAAATCATGTCATTGTAGCAAAATGTATAGATCTGGGGGACATTATGTTTTGCAAAACAAGTCAGACACAGAAAACTAATTACACTGTGCATGTGTGGACCCAAAGTCAACCTAGACAATTACTTCAGAACAAAAATCAACCTAAGTAATTCCTTCCGAAGACCAGAGACGTAGAATCACTACATCACACCATACTTAAATATGACCCGTGTGAATCAAAAATACAAATGTAAATGACAAAACTATATAGATATTATATTATTTTGGAAGATAGAGAAATGAGAATGGCTATGAGAATGAGCCCACCCTGGGCTACACAGTGAATTCCAAAGCAGCCTGAACTATATAGAGTGAATGCTTGTCTCAAACAATAACAGCAACAATATAAGTCAATTTCTTCAAAGAGGAAAAATGGAGTCTTTCCATAGCTGACCAGTACAGTTAGATGACATTATAATAAGAGATTATAAAATAACCCATCCTCATTAATTTTCTCTCATGTTCTAGCATTATACAGTTAGAGCTGTTTGTCTAGTAGAAAAGACAGTCTTCAGTAAGCAACGTAAACATTGGTTTCAATGAAGTAGTCACAATGGCATTCTGGGGCTGGAGAGATAGTCGGTGGTCAAGAGCACTCACTGCTCTTCCAGGAGACTGGCATTCAGTTCCCAGCACCCACATCTAGTGCTCACAACCACCTGCTCACCACAGCTCCAGCTCAGGGAACCTGACTCCTTCCTTTTCTGGCTCCTGCAGGCATTGGCATCTGCGTGGCATATACCAACACAGATACATATTCTCATAAATAAATCAATCATTTTTAAAAGAATTAATTAAAACTTGCCTCCTGCTCCACAGTGAGCTGTTTTCTCTTAGTATTTTCAGACTGGGTCATATCTATATATGAGTCTCTAGCAAATGGTTTCTATGAATAGAGCATGGTTTATGTCACAATATTTTGTACTTCACTAATTAATTCTGTCAAGACTTCACAAGGAAATGAAAGATGTGTATTCTTTCCTTTGCAAACAAGTTACAACCCACCACCTGCTGAAATGGAGGAAAGGTTAAAAAAAAAGCCATGTGACACAGCATAGATTAATAGAAATAAGTTCAATTAAGTTGTAAGAGCTAGTTGGAACAAGCCTAAGATAAAGACCAAGATTTTATTATTAATATTTTGATAATAAGTCTCTGTCATTATCTTGGGGCTGGCAATCCAAAAAAAACATCTAATAACAAATCACTGGTAAAAATTTTTAATATAAACCTTATGAATATTTGTCATTGAAAATGAGATATACAAATATGACTGTCATTCACCAAAAAAGTAAAAAGAAAAACTACAAAATATTATATCATCATGCATTAAAGAGCTAATATTTTTAATGTAATTTATTTTATTTTATTTATTTTTATTTTATTTATAACACAATTATATAATTTCTCTCTTTCCTTTCCTCTCTCCAGATAATTCTATATACCCCTCTTTGTTCTCTTTCAAGTCCATGGTCTCTATTTTCATTCATTGTTGCTACATATAGATGATAGTTAGATAGCTGGATAGATAGATAGATAGAAGATAGATAGATAGATAGATAGATAGATAGATAGATAGATAGATAGATAGACTGACAGACAGATAAGATAGATAGGCAGATAGACATAGATCAATAGATATATGCATGCATGTGTATGTACATATATTCTGATACATGCATACAACTTTTCTGGTCTATTTAGTGTTATTTTATACATATTTTCAGAACTGACGATTTGGAATTGGGTAACCATTTATATCTTGTGTGGATAATACCATTTCTCCTACTTTCAACATTCCTTCATTGACTGTAGTTCTTTGTATAGAGTTAAAGTTTCATTATCTTTCCCCCATCCACATAGACATGTCTATTGTTGTTGTCCAGTTCATGCTTAGGCAGTCAGGTTGGTGAAACTGTATGGGTGTAGCTTTTGACATCACTAGGAGACAGAATCCCACGGCAAACTCTTTGATTCTCTAGCTCTTACCATCTTTCTGCCCTCTCTCCTGCAGTGTTTTCTCAGTCTTGGGTGCAGGAGCAAGAACAGCTCATTTTAAAATGACTGATAGTATCAAACATTTGGAATGGTGAGGATAAAAGTTAATCTTTAAGTATTTCTAATGGTTATGATTTAGTACAATTGGATGGTGAGTGCTTAGAAGTAGAGAACAACAGAGCCATTCAGAAAGGCAACTGTGTTGCAGTAGCATGCTGAACCCAAAAGGTTCTCTAAAATATCATTGCACTAAAGGGCCCACAGGTCTTTGGACAACTAATGCCAAGGCCAGGATATGAAAAAAATTGATCCTGAAATAATAATAAGAAGAAGACATGGGATTTGGGGTTCACTCTGGCTAAACTGGGGAACAATTTGAGCTCTGAAATAAATTTCTTAACAATAGATTGTATCTGCTAAATAAAAATATCCATGAATTCAAATCAATATAAACAAATAGATTTAAATAATCCAAAGAAAAAATAAACGAGAAAAAAATTATTTCTTTACAGTAGAATGTCAACTCATAAATGAATTAAAATGTTGAAATTAGTGAGCTTAACAAAAATCCACTCAGGTTTCAAAGCCTTCTACAACCATCTGTACACTTTCCTATAGATGTTTTAGAAAAAGAAATATTCGAAACTGGTCTAGCAGGAATTCCCCTCTTAGATATCTACTATCTGATCTGATCCTTCTTCTGCCATCCACTGTGATGTTTGCTAGCAGGAATCAATCATGTTAGGACAGTTCAGCCAGAATTCTCCTCATACCTGTTCACGCTTCAAAATTCTCCCTCCACCCACATCGATCTGCCCTTGGCTATAAGCTCCTACTTGTTCATGTTGTGTCGAAGCTCATCTCCATCAAAATCCCGTTGTATTGGCTGTCTTTTTTATCATGAAGGTCCTCAGTAAAGTCATCCCTGACAGACTTAACAAATATCCCTAAATTATTGTCTGGTAATACTAAAAATACCCATTTGCCCTTGTGATGCTACTAATTAACTTAGAAAGAAACATAGACACAAAAAGAACTAGTAAATAAAACTAAAAAGTGAAATGAGACTTTATGTAGAAACAATGGAGTAACCACCCCCCAAAATAATTATGAATTATTAGGGGGAGGTAACTTTATAATAGAGAAATATGGCAGGCACCATCTTCATCAAACAATCAAAAGTTTCTAGCCAACAATAGTAAGATGGGTAAGAACATAGGATAATCATATTTGATGGCCCAGGTTAAAATAATTATTATGCATCTAATCAACAAAATATCTTTCAAACCCAAACAGGTAGGTATTCTATAATATGCTTGCCCTATAATCCTTAAGAAAGGATTTAGAAACCTTCCAAGATTTAAGGAGACTTCAAAGATCTACATCATGGGTGCCTTGCCTAATCCTTGACTCATTTATTTCACTAAAAACAATATTGCACAAACAAACAGTAAGGCTGGAATGGATTCTCTGGATAGATTGGACTTTTTATACTGTTTTTGTGTGAACTGAAATTCCCGGGGGAATAAAATCCTGACCTTGTTAAATATCTGCAAGATTAAGTGATAAAATGTCTGTGATTCTAGAGAGTTGGGATGTTGAAGGTCCAGAATCAATTATCTTGAGCTTCCTATAGACATCTAAATAGGCATTTATTGCCCAGACTGTGTTTGACTTCTGGGGCTACCAGTGAAATCCTTTTTTTAACCATGTGTTGACAGTGAGATTACAAAGATGGTTCAGTGGCTAAGCACACACACACTCTCTTGTAAAAAAATCAAGTTCTACTCCCAGCACCCACATCAGGCGTCTGACGACCACCTGTAATTCCAGCTTTACTTCGGAAGACACCTGCATTCACGTAGAGATAAAATGAAATAAAAACTTAAGAATACATAAGCAGACCCTCGCTTCCACCAACTCAAAGGCTAAGCATTTCATCAGGTAGCACCTGAGACTTAACGAAGTTTCCCCCACTTTGCTTGTAGCCCAGTTATCTGATGTTCCCAATAATGTATTTTTAAAGTATCTTGATTTACGATTTTCCTTACCCTGTTACTTCATGAAACTCTTTCCAGCAGTTTCACCTAAATCTTTGTTTCTGGACCATGGCCACTCATATTTGGCTGTAGAATAAACTGTGTCTTATTCTCTGAGATGAGATGGTTTTGCACTAATACTTGAAGCAATGATGAATGTCTGAAAGTTGTTTCAAAGGTCAGCTTCTGAGAGACAGTTGCTCCCACACGAAAAGTGAAAATGTGGTAAACCAGAGGATTACAGGCTGGCAATACCCATGAAAAAACTAAACACACAAAGAACTAATGAACCTGACTCTGGAAAGCAAGGAATTTTATTTTTGATGAGGAAAGCCCTGCAGCTGTTTTCACTTCTGATAAAATCATGGGAGGGGGAGAAGTCTATCATAAACAAAAATGAGAAGAAATGTTAGCAGTCATATGTGGACTGGAATAAAGCATTAGAGGAGCCTTCACAACAGAGTCTCTGTGCATATCCGCATATAATGCAAATGAAAGGCCGGATGTAGAGGCATAAACCTGTAATCCCAGTGTTACAAGAGGGAGTGGAGATAAGAGGATCTGAGAGGCTTGTTGGCCAGCCAGTCTAGCCAAATCAGTGAACTTGGGGTTCAGTGAAAAATCCTGCTCCCAAAGTGGAAAGTAGTTGCGGTAGAGACCTGGTGTTGGCTTC